CTAACTGGCAATAGTGTAAAAATAATTTGTTAATAATGAGTAAAGATTGTTTTGACAATGTCTAACACTTCAGAAATGTATCTCATTATTCTGGCAGTATTAATTGAGGATTTTTGCTCTTTTCTCCCCCTGTTTTTCAGTGACAATTTCAACGAGCACCTTCTTTGATGGCTTGCTGGTGACAGGACTATATACATCTACAAGTGTTCAGGCTTCTCAGAGCATTGGAGGTTCCAATGCTTTTGGATTTGGTAAGCTCTCCTTTCATAGGAAACCAGTAATTGTCAGTACTAGGCCTTATTTTTTGAAATGTAAAAGTATTAGACATTATTTCAGAGAAAATAATCCGAAGTGATCTTTGTGCATTTGCTTGAAATTTAGTGAATTGGAATTAAGTCATGTAAATGTGCAGCCAGCCATGACCTTTATGTGAAGATCCTTCTATCCTTTCCCACCTATTGCCACTATTACACTTGGTCCTGAGCAGGTCAAGTAATTTCTGTTCTGTCATTTAGCTTGCTGGAATTGGAATTCACTCTGTTGTGCATGCAGTTTTTCAGTGACCTGTTTTTAGAAACAGTTCTTTAAATCCTGGAGTAAGTGAAAAGTGACATGTTAAGTTTAGCTAGTAAGTGTTGTATGAAGTGGAAGATAGTAACTGCTAAAATAATTGAATTCTATGAGTACTCATAAAAGAATGCAATTTAATATTTAAAACACTTACATGGAGTCTTTGTTGTTAAATCAGGGGTCTGGCAGGTTCCTGATGGGGAGAAACAGATGGCTATATGGTGATCACAGGCGATTCTCAATTTGAATATTCCTAGTTTACCCATATGTGGTAAACACACCAACCTGGGATTAAGTAGTCCCTTTTCAGTATCAAAAATGCAAACTTAGTGTACAGTTTATATAAGAAATGAAATCACTGATCTTTCTCTAAAATTGAAAAACTACACAGGACTTTCTCCATTGATGTGAGAAAGATAGTATTGCCTTATCAAAGGCTGCCATGGGTTCAACTTGTCCTTTCTGAGCTATTTATTGAATAAATAACTTCTACCTACTTTTGATATATGAAAGGGCACTGCCTCTGCATCTCAGCAGTAGCTCTGCCCAGGTGACTCAGTATCTGACACCGAGTGGTGAAGCTGATGCTGCGTCCTCTCCCTGCTGGCCCAGGATAAGGTTCTCAGCCTCAGGGCTCAAAGGAACCTGGAAGCCACTTAACCATCTTGTTAAGTTATTTGACATTGAGAATTTGCCCTATTTCTAAAAGATCCCAGATAAGCTTTTACAATATATTGGTAACTACTTCTTAGGTCTAATCCTCAAGAAAAAAATTCTTGTTAGACCTAAAAATACCACTTCTTTAGCCCCACCCTTTTTGTGCTCTGCAGATAGGGAAAGGTCAGCTTACAATCATATATATGTACATAATATATATGACACAACCTGTTATGTTACAAGAGGACCCACGAGTAGGGCAGGTAGATTGAACAAATAAAAATGTCTAGGACATTCAGTTAAATGGATTTAATATCCAGTTATTTAGATAAATAATTTTTTTAGTATAATGATACAATATTTGGGATAAGACATCCTGGGTTCTACCTTAGTCTAATTAAACCAAAGCATCTAGGAGCAGGAATTGGGGGTTGGTAATTTTTAAAGCTCCCACATGGTCCTAATGTTTACGTAGGTTTGAGAACCACCCTACTGGATCATTCCTGCGTCCAGCAGCCTCAGCTTCATGGGGAACTTTGACCCAGAGTTCCAGGCTTTACTGGATATTCTGGAGGTGGGACCCAGTGATCGATTTTTAATAAGCACTCCAAGTGATTCTGATATACACTAAAGTTTGAAAACCACTCGACTACATTAATTAAGTAGGAGTGACAGACATTATTTACATGACTATATAAATATGTAACAGCAAGTCTTGCTGAGGCTAGCTAGGAAAAGTATTGAGCACTGGGAAAGGATGTGACAGAGAAACTAGAGCTAGTCTGGAGTAAAATGGGATGTAGTTAGGAAAGGCTTTCCTGAGGAAGTGGGATGAGCTGAGGAGTGAAGGATGAGTAGGAATTAGGTACAGGTCTGTGGAAGGTGGGGCACAGAATACACCACCTGGGGTAGGAATAGTAGATGAAAAGGCCTCAGGACAGGGAGAGGCTGGCTATGTTCTAGGAACTGAAAGAAAATCTTGCAGTGGCTAGACCTGGAATCAAGAAGGAAAGTGGCAAGGCTGAATAGGAGACCAGACCCTTTCAGGATCTTGAGAAGGGGAAGCTACTTAGAATTTTCAGCTGAGGAGAAACTCGAACAGCTTTTCATTTTAGAAAGATCATTCTGGGGTCAACATAGAGAACAAAGTGCGGCGTCCAGGAGTGGATGTGGAAGGACTGTTCTGTGGTTATAAGTTCTGATGTGACAGAGGAATCCCGGTGAGGCTGGCATCGGCACCAAGCAGGAGCAGAATGTGGAGGAGGGAGACTGTGGCTGGTGGAGTCCTGCAGACCTGCTGGCAGACCCAGTGCCCCAGCCAAGCTGATTAACTTCTCTAAGTTTACCTTCCTCATCTGCGAAATGGTGGTAATAATGGTGCTTGCTCCAGAAGAAGCTGAGTAGTCATTGAGGATTAAAAGAGGTGACACATGTAGAGCTCTTAGCACACAGAAAGCACTCAGCAAATGTTAAGTATTCCAAAATTACAAATCTTGATAACTGAAGCAGCTGCTTTCCTCAGTCCAGGGCTTGTATATTCTTCCTCTGGGGTGTGTGTATGTGTTTGTGCGAAAGAGTTCTCAGGTGGAATTAATCTGGGGTTTACAGATCCAGATGATTTGCCAGGACTTGGCTGAATGAAGCAACTAACTAACTTGCCAAGATGGAGGCCTTAAATGAGAAAAAATCTTTAAATGTTACTCATAAGCATGTTGTAAACACATTTTTTAAAGAACATATAAAACGCATGTACATTGTTTCAGATTTTAGCTAGTAAGCTAAACAGAAAATGAACAATGCAATTGTCAGAAATTATTAAAGACATCCAGGCTTCAAGACATTTTCTTTGGTGACTGAAAGCTGTAAAAAGGCAGTTCACTTGAATTAGACTGTCTTCTAAATAGTTTAAATTGCACTTAGTTTTCCAATCACTGTCAGCCCTATATCAATGGGTTGATGGTCTGAAGAGGCTTCTGAACACAAAGCCCACTGATGGTAGTTTGACTTCCATAACCAAATGCTTAGGTTTCCCCATAGTTGCTTGGCATTTTTATAGGACATGATTTTTATATGCATGGACAGATAAGTGAGATCTTTTTTAAGTTACATTGACATCCAAAGGATTTTGTGTGTACTTATGTGATAGTGGTAATTGCCTGAAAATATACCTATCTGAATATTGCTAAACAGATTTAATCTTCATAAATAATGTTTTTGAATAGAAAACAGGAGGTTGTGTCTTTTTATATAAATGGTCACTTTTGGAAGCAAAAAAACATTAATGTTTAAGAATTTGATATATTTAATATATTCTTTACAACTTAAGAACAAAATTGAAAAAGATTTCATTTGAGTGGGTACAGATGAGAAAGTAGAGGAAAATGATCATAGAAGGTAAAATGTAAAAGAATTGCTGCTTTATGGTAGTTCAGTAGTTTTATATATATAGTATGACTTGGCTAAAATAATGTGGTATTCTTTAATGTGGAACAGAAGAGTCATTGAAAACATTATCTATTATTAGGCTGACTTAACTGATGGAATGTTAAGCAAACATGATTTGTTTGGCATTTTCCCAACATATCATAGGATTCATGTGTGAATATGTTTAACTAGCTAACGTGAATAAAACAAAGTAAAACATATACTTGCATCTAAAACAGTACTTCTGAAAGTTTTTTACACTTACAGTTCATTTTAATTGTACTTATGACACTAAAGTTGCAGCCACTCTCCTCTGAATATAAAATGTGTATATGACCAGCCAAAATAAGGCCATAATTATTCTTAAGATGCTGTTGTATAAATGTAATTCCATTAACATAACTACGGCCTTTTATGCAAAACCCAGAATTCTTTAAAATGCATGCCTCACTGACCAAAAATAGATAAATGCCTAAGAGCCAGAAATGTGGTAAAACAATAGCTATGCAAAAGATGACTGTATGCCAGCAATGCATGATTTGAAATACCTCATTTTGCTTGTCAATATAAGAAAACATGCTGCCCTAGGGAAGAGTGACGTTTAATTATGAATATCTCTTTGTGCCATCCAAGAAAAAAAATGTTTCCCTCTTGTTTTGGCTCAATCATGTAAATCTTCGAGGCTCATTGTGGTCACTCAATGAAGGGCTATTTGAATATCTTTTCATGCAAAATTGTTCATTTTAGAGAGACTGAAATGCGTTTTACTCAATATTTAGTATTCTGGCTCTAAAAGCATTTTGCTCAACTTTTGGTATTCTGGCTCTAAAACCTGAGATCAGGTTTGCAGGTCTGATGAGTAGCTGCCATACTTCAAATTGTTAGACCTTGCATAAATTTGTAAAAGTGCTTAGCAACTTCTAGACAATTTTGCTCAGCTAACACATCAACTATCTGAACATTTGTTCACTTGATTCTGTAATTTCCTATGTGTTTCATTTCTTTTTTCTGTAATGATTAGGTATCCTAGATCCAATCATTTCTTAAGTTACAAAACTCTTAAAATGGCCAGATTTGATAAAATCTAAATTTGGGGAGAAATGTAGTGAACAGATCCAAGATTCTTTTAAATTTTTTCTCCTAAGCATTCAGTCATGCCACATTTTTTTTTTTTTTGTGTGTGTGTGTGTGTGTGTGTGTGTGTGTGTGTGTGTCCACATTTTTAATAGAGAGTAACCTACTAACATAAAAACTTAATATTTTCAATATTATTTTTAAATATTATTTTTAAAACATGGTATTAGAATTTTTTAACTTAATGATCTGATTTATTTCAATGTGATTTGGCAGTAACTTTAGATGAACAGGGATGTGTTTTCAAAACGAATTATTAAAATGCTTTAAGAAAGACTTGAAAGTTTAGTTAATCTTATATTGGGTACTAGTGATTAAAAATATGTTACTTACCAGTAGATTTAGATTGTATATTACTGTTTCATTGCCAGGATGCAAGTTTTTGCTACTTCTTTGTTTTATTGTCACTACAAATAAAAATACAGGGTCTGTACAAGCTAATTTTTGGCTATCCTTCATGTTAAAA